ACAGATTACAGATTACACGCCCCAAAATGTAGTTTGTAACAGAATCCATTAAATTACTTGAAGTGAGTAATGTAATCTGATTACTTTGGATTCCTTGATTTGCTGTAGAGAAGCAAAGACGAGGAAATTGTAGCATAAGATGTTTTGTCTGATAAAAGAAAATAAAAAGACCAGATTTTACTGATCCAAATTAAAAATATTATTGATAGAAGAGAAAGAGACACTGTCCGCGCGGCTTGTTTTAGTCCTGTTAAATCCTGTTTTAGACCTGGTTTAGACCTGGTTTAGACCTGATTTAGACCTGGTTTTAATCCTGATTTAGACCTGGTTTTAGTCCTGATTTAGACCTGGTTTTAGTCCTGATTTAGACCTGGTTTTAGTCCTGATTTAGACCTGGTTTTAATCCTGATTTAGACCTGGTTTTAGTCCTGATTTAGACCTGGTTTTAGTCCTGATTTAGACCTGGTTTTAGACCTGGTTTTAGTCCTGGTTTAGACCTGGTTTTAGACCTGATTTAGACCTGGTTTTAATCCTGATTTAGACCTGGTTTTAGACCTGATTTAGACCTGGTTTTAGTCCTGATTTAGACCTGGTTTTAGTCTTGATTTAGACCTGGTTTAGACCTGGTTTTAGACCTGGTTTAGACCAGGTTTTAATCCTGATTTAGACCTGGTTTTAGACCTGGTTTAGACCTGGTTTTAGTCCTGATTTAGACCTGGTTTTAGTCCTGATTTAGACCTGGTTTTAGACCTGGTTTTAGACCTGGTTTAGACCTGATTTAGACCTGGTTTTAGACCTGGTTTAGACCTGGTTTAGTCCTGGTTTTTAATCCTGGTTTTAGACCTGGTTTTAGACCTGGTTTAGACCTGGTTTTAGTCCTTGATTTAGACCTGGTTTAGACCTGGTTTTAGACCTGATTTAGACCTGGTTTTAATCCTGACCTGGTTAGACCTGGTTTTAGACCTGATTTAGACCTGGTTTTAGATCCTGGTTTATTTTTAGACCTGGTTTTAGTCCTGATTTAGACCTGGTTTTAATCCTGATTTAGACCTGATTTTAGACCTGGTTTTAGACCTGGTTTAGACCTGGTTTTAGTCCTGATTTAGACCTGGTTTTAGACCTGGTTTTAGACCTGGTTTAGAGTCCGGCAATGAGTGCAGTTACTGGGGAAAAAAAAAAGGGATATAGCCCCAAATGTGAAAACAGGAAAATCCCGCCGTGTAATCCATTTATTTCAACCAAGTAACTGTAATCCAATTACCACTGACTGAAACAGTAACTGTAACTAAATACAGTTACTCATAATTTGTACTCTGATTACTCCTGTACATGTAATCTGTTACTCCCCAACACTGACTATGGGTTATTTAATATTTCTGCTGCTGCGTTTACGGCCCATAATCCTCCTCTGGTCCGTTCCTCGGCTCTTTAAAGCACAACTCTTTTAGAAATCAAAACAAAAGCTGTTCGTGCGTGTTTCTCCGACGGAGCTTCTTGTTGATCTTCTGCAGAGATGGAGCGAAAGCTGCAGGAGGAGCGGGTTCTCAAGGCTCAGCTGGAGAACCGGCTGCTGCAGATGGAGAAGGACTACTCCATGTTGGACTGTGACTTTAAACAGGCTCAGCACCGACTGGAGGAGCTGGGAGGGCAGAAGGAGCGGCTGACCGAGGAGGTGAGCTGTATGCTGGTTTGTGGGGAATTCTCAGTTTCAGATCAGGATTGGGACATTCATTGTAGAACTGTGGGTTTAGATTTTTTGTTTGTTTCCTGTCAGCAGGCATGAAAATCTCTCACTTTTTGGCGAAATTTGCCGTTTTTAAACTAAAATAGGTGAAGACATTTGTGAATCATGTAAATTCGATGAGAAAAGTTTTGGGGAAGAGTGGGGGGTCTTGGAGTCGGTCTTGTCACGGCGACTGACTGACTGACTCTTGACGAGGTGTGCGGGAGCGAGCAGGGCGTCTCACTGTATCCTGCGCTCACCTGGAGCCCGCGGACACTGCGCGGCTCGTCACAAACACACACCAGAGCGAGCGACTTTTTAAAACATCCTTCCCGTCCACCTGCCTCATGTCAGCACGCCGCCTTTTCACGCTCTCGCTCCTCCCTGCGTATAGTGCACATCGACTCGGTCCTTAGTTCGCGCTGCTTTGAAGAGCAAGATGAAACACGAAGCAAAAACGAATCAAAATTAATGCTACAGTGTCGGTGCAGCAGATCTACTGTGACATGTGGCTGAATTTGTGTAATAAAATGCCAAATAAATCTGTGTTTTTCACAATGTGCGTTTTTTATTTTTATTTTTTGTTTATTTTATTTATTCAATATTTGACCAGGTCAGTTGAGAAGAACTTCTCAGTTACAATAACGACCTGACCAAGAGGCAGGATTAAACAGAAGCACAAACACAAAACACTCACACATCAAGACAGTGAAACATTTGCAGATTAAAAGATATAAAAGTGTTAAAAACATGTGCAGTTATCCTGTAAAATACTCTGGATGGAGTTTTTAAAAGTCGACAGAGGTAAAAGCAAACAAAGTTTTAAAGTCTGTTGAAGGTGGTTCCAAAACCACCTGCAAAACCAGTAACCAGTAACCAGTTTTCTGTAAATTCTCTTAGAGACGGGTTTCTCAAACTGTGGATCAGGGTCCAAAAAAGAGGCGTTTCAGTGCAGAACAGTTTGCTTGGCTTATTTTAAGATTAAATGAACATTAATCAGATAGAATGGGGATAAAATACAAATGAATGTAGAAAATGACAAAGATGGTCTTGATTTGGTCTCGGTCTTGTCTCGGTCTCGACTCTCAGAGGTCTCGGTCTTGTCTCGGTCTCGACTCTCAGAGGTCTCGGTCTTGTCTCGGTTTCGACTCTCAGAGGTCTCGGTCTCTGGTCTTGTCTCGTCTCGACCTCTCGAGTCTCGGTCTTGTCTCGGTTTTGACTCTCAGAGGTCTCGGTCTTGTCTCGGTCTCTCGGTCTCTCGACTCTCAAGAGGTCTCGGTCTTGTCTCGGTCTCGACTCTCAGAGGTCTCGGTCTTGTCTCTCGGTCTCTCTGTCTCGGTCTCAGACTCTCAGAGGTCTCTCTCGGTCTTGTCTCGGTCTCGACTCTCAGAGGTCTCGGTCTCTGTCTCGGTCTCGACTCTCAGAGGTCTCGGTCTTGTCTCGGTCTCGACTCTCAGAGGTCTCGTCTGTCTCGTCTCGTCTTGTCTCGTCTCGGACTCTCTCGAGGTCTTCTGTCTCGGTCTTGTCTCGTCTCGACTCTCAGAGGTCTCGGTCTTGTCTCGGTCTCGTCTCGACTCTCAGAGGTCTCGGTCTTTGTCTCGGTCTCGACTCTCTCAGAGGTCTCGGTCTTGTCTCTCGACTCTCAGAGGTCTCGGTCTTGTCTCGGTCTCGGTCTCGGTCTCTCTGAGTCTCGTCTCGTCTCGGTCTCGACTCTCAGAGGTCTCGTCTCGTCTTGTCTCGGTTCTCGACTCTCAGAGGTCTCGGTCTTGTCTCGTCGGTCTCGACTCTCAGAGGTCTCTCTCGGTCTTGTCTCGGTCTCGGTCTCGTCTCGTCTCGACTCTCAGAGTCTCGGTCTTGTCTCGGTCTCGACTCTCAGAGGTCTCGGTCTTGTCTCGGTCTCGACTCTCAGAGGTCTCGGTCTTGGTCTCGCTCTCGACTCTCGAGGTCTCGTCTCGTCTTGTCTCGGTCTCGACTCTCGAGTCTCGGTCTCGTCTTCTCGTCTCAGAGTCTTGTCTCGGTCTCGACTCTCAGAGGTCTCGGTCTTGTCTCTGGTCTCGACTCTCAGAGGTCTCGGTCTTGTCTCGGTCTCTCGGGTCTCGACTCGGTCTCGACTCTCAGAGGTCTCGTCTCGGTCTCGTCTCGTCTCGGTCTCGACTCTCAGAGGTCTCGGTCTTGTCTCGGTCTCGACTCTCTGAGGTCTCGGTCTGTCTCTCCAGTCTCGTCTCGTCTCGACTCTCAGAGGTCTCGGTCTTGTCTCGGTCTCGACTCTCAGAGGTCTCGGTCTTGTCTCGGTCTCGACTCTCAGAGGTCTCGGTCTTGTCTCGGTCTCGACTCTCAGAGGCCTCGGTCTTGTCTCGTCTCGACTCTCAGAGGTCTCGGTCTTGTCTCGGTCTCGACTCTCAGAGGTCTCGGTCTTGTCTCGGTCTTGTCTCGGTCTCGGTCTCGACACTCTCAGAGGTCTCGGTCTCGTCTCGGTCTCGACTCTCAGAGGTCTCGGTCTTGTCTCGGTCTCGTCTCGACTCTCAGAGGGTCTTGTCTCGTCTTGTCTCGGGTCTCGACTCTCAGAGGTCTCGGTCTTGTCTCGGTCTCGACTCTCAGAGGTCCTCGGTCTTGTCTCTCGGTCTCGACTCTCAGAGGTCTCGGTCTTGTCTCGGTCTCGACTCTCAGAGGTCTCGGTCTCGGTCTCGTCTTGTCTCGGTCTCGACTCTCTCGACTCGGTCTCGGTCTCGTCTCGGTCTCGACTCTCAGAGGTCTCGGTCTTGTCTCGGTCTCGACTCTCAGAGGTCTTGGTCTTGTCTCGGTCTCGACTCTCAGAGGTCTCGGTCTTGTCTCGGTCTCGACTCTCAGAGGTCTCGGTCTTGTCTCGGGTCTCGACTCTCAGAGGTCTCGGTCTTGTCTCGGTCTCGACTCTCGAGGTCTTCGGTCTCGTCTCGGTCTTGTCTCGTCTTCTCGACTCTCTCAGACTCGGTCTCGGTCTCGTCTCGTCTCGACTCTCAGAGGTCTCGGTCTGTCTCGTCTCGGTCTCGACTCTCGAGGTCTCGGTCTTGTCTCGTCTCGACTCTCTGAGGTCTCGTCTTGTCTCGGTCTCGACTCTCAGAGGTCTCGGTCTTGGTCTCGGTCTCGACTCTCAGAGGTCCTCGGTCTTGTCTCGGTCTCGACGCTCTGAGGTCTCGTCTTGTCTCGGTCTCGACTCTCAGGTCTCGGTCTTGTCTCGGTCTCGAGACTCTCAGTCTCGTCTTGTCTCGGTCTTGTCTCGGTCTCGACTCTCGGTCTCGGTCTTCGTCTCGGTCTCGACTCTCAGAGGTCTCGGGTCTTGTCTCGGTCTCGACTCTCAGAGGTCTCGGTCTTGTCTCGTCTCGACTCTCAGAGGTCTCGGTCTTGTCTCGGTCTCGACTCTCAGAGTCTCGGTCTCGTCTCGGTCTCGACTCTCAGAGGCCTCGGTCTTGTCTCGTCTCGTCTCGAGGTCTCGGTCTGTCTCGTCTCGACTCTCAGGTCTCGGTCTTGTCTCGGTCTTGTCTCGGTCTCGACTCTCAGAGGTCTCGGTCTTGTCTCGGTCTCGACTCTCAGTCTCGGTCTTGTCTCGGTCTCGACTCTCACTCTCAGAGGTCTCGGTCTTGTCTCTCGTCTCTCGACTCTCAAGTCTCGGTCTTGTCTCGGTCTCGCTCTCTCAGAGGTCTCGGTCTGTCTCGGACTCTCAGAGGTCTCGGTCTTGTCTCGTCTCGACTCTCAGAGGTCTCGGTCTTGTCTCGGTCTCGACTCTCAGAGGTCTCGGTCTTGTCTCGGTCTCGACTCTCAGAGGTCTCGGTCTTGTCTCGTCTCGACTCTCAGAGGTCTCGGTCTTGTCTCGGTCTCGACTCTCAGAGGTCTCGGTCTTGTCTCGTCTCGACTCTCAGAGGTCTCGGTCTTGTCTCGTCTCGACTTCAGAGGTCTCGGTCTTGTCTCGTCTCGACTCTCGAGGTCTCGGTCTTGTCTCGGTCTCGACTCTCAGAGGTCTCGGTCTTGTCTCGTCTCTCGACTCTCAGAGTCTCGGTCTTGTCTCGTCTCGACTCTCAGAGGTCTCGGTCTTGTCTCGGTCTCGACTCTCAGAGGTCTCGGTCTTGTCTCGGTCTCGACTCTCAGAGGTCTCGGTCTTGTCTCGTCTCGACTCTCAGAGGTCTCGGTCTTGTCTCGGTCTCGACTCTCAGAGGCCTCGGTCTTGTTCTCGGTCTCGACTCTCAGAGGTCTCGGTCTTGTCTCGTCTCGACTCTCAGAGGTCTCGGTCTTGTCTCGTCTCGACTCTCAGAGGTCTCGGTCTTGTCTCGGTCTCGACTCTCAGAGGTCTCGGTCTTGTCTCGGTCTCGACTCTCAGAGGTCTCGGTCTTGTCTCGTCTCGACTCTCAGAGGTCTCGGTCTTGTCTCGTCTCGACTCTCGGTCTTGTCTCGTCTCACTCTCTCGGTCTTGTCTCGTCTCGACTCTCTGTCTCGGTCTTGTCTCGTCTTGGTCTCGGTCTTGTCTCGGAAACTAAGTGAAAGTGATGTCTGTCGTGTGTTTTCAGGTGAAGTCCCTGGGCTCTCGTCTGGAGGAGGAGCTCCACACTCGCTCTCTGTCTCAGGCGGAGCTGAAGATCCAGAAGCAGCAGCTCACCGTCCTCCAGACCTCCGAGAAACAGCTCAAACAGGAAGTCAACCACCTGCTGGAGATCAAGAGCGCCCTCGACAGGAACAACCAGGAACTGCGCCGGTAAATCAGCACAACCCTCCCACAACACGCGTCACAAACTTACGTCACAAACCAGGAAGACGTTTGGAAACATGCGCTGAAACGTCCGGTGTATTTCCCGACACCGACTGTGATCAAACCCACTGAAGTAAATGTGATCAGCGGTAAAATAAAGACTGCAAGTATGTAATCTGTGTGTCATTCGTTCATTTGTTTTTTAATATAAAACCAAAAATAAGAAAACGAGGAAAAAAAAAAAAAATTTCTTCATTATTCGTCTCCAAAACCAAAATGAAAAAGCAGATAACGATAATTTTTTTCAGTTTTTTGTGTTTAAATAAATGGATAATGGATGTTTCCCATTTACGTGACTTAAAATAAGATGCAGGACTGAACCGGGGCTGAACTAGGTCTAAACCAGGTCTAAACCAGGTCTACAGCAGGACTAAACCAGGACTGAACCAGGACTGAGTGTCGGGACGGGCTCTGAGACTTTCGGGTGATCAGGACTGAGATCGGGACCAGGACGAGGACTGAGGCCGGGACCAGACCGGACCAGACCGGGACCAGGACCAGGACCAGGATGAGATCTGAGATCGGGACCAGGACGAGAACTGAGACCGGGACCGAGACCGGGACTAGACCGGGACCAGGACGAGGACTGTGATCGGGACCAGGACGAGAACTGAGACCGGGACTGAGACCGGGACCAGGACGAGGGCTGTGATCGGGACCAGGACGAGGGCCGAGACCGGGACCAGGACGAGGGCCGAGATCGGGACCAGGACGAGGGCCGGGACCAGACCAGGACCAGGACGAGGACCGGGACCAGGACCAGGACCGGGACCAGACCGGGACCAGGACGAGGACTGAGACTGGGACCAGACCAGGACCAGGACGAGGACTGAGACTGGGACCAAGACGAGGACTGAGACTGGGACCAGACAAGGATCAGAACCGGGACTGAGACCTGTTTAGACCTGTTTTAGTCCTGTTTTAGTCTTGGTTTAGTACTGTTTTCGTGTGTATGTGGCGCAAAAGTCCAACATCGCAGTTCAAGTCACGGAAACGGGAAACGGTCGTTATCTGTTTTTTCCATTTGTCATTTAAACACAAAATCGAAAACTGAAAAAACGGATCATTATCATTTTTTCATTTTGGTTTTGGAGACAAATAATGAAGAAAATAGTTGTTCATTTTCTTATTTTTGGTTTTATTTTGAAAAACGAATGAACGAATGATCCTACATTGACATGGAGATGAACAAAACTGACTCAACATTTTCTCATTTTTGCTAGCGCCAGAAATTGTAATCGCATCTTTCCAAACGTCTTCCTGCCCGTTTACGTTAGAGTTAACATTTGACGAACAGAAATTGGTAACGTCATCATATTTTGCGTGCACTTTGTCCTTTGTTCTGGATGGAGTTTTGTTTATTGATTGACACAGACAGAGCGAGGGTTTTTTTTTTTTTTACAACTCAGTGCTGGTGTAAAAAGCCTTTCTTCTACAATAAAGAGTTCAAAGTTGCAGTTGAAGTAATTACTCAAGTAAGAGTAAAAAAACAACAACACACATTTGAGGAAACCACTACTCTGCTGAGATTATGAGGTTTAATTTAATTTAATGTAGTTTTCAAAAATATCTGAAGCAGCTGCAAGAAACAGAAATGTTCAAATCATTTCATCTTGTCACGTAAAGTTTTTGTCACTTTCGACTTAATCGGGGTCTAAAGAGAAACCACAACTTTTACTCAAGTAAAAGTACAATATATTACTCGAGTATAAGTCAATTGTTTATTTTAAAATGCTTCATACGGTTGATGTCTGAAGAGTCCAACATCAAATTCAAACGAGCCAAACGAGCTCTGTGTGGGTGGAGATGAATTTCTGCTCGGGGACAATAAAAAAAAGTCTTAAAGTCTAAAGTCTAAATTGATCCAAACTGAAATAAAAGATTGTTTTGATTCAGGGAGAAGCAGGAGGCGGACGGGCTGCTGAAGGAGCTCAAGGACCAGCTGGAGGCAGAGACCTATTTCACGGTAGGTGCACAAACGCACCTCTACACAGTACATGCAGTACACGCTTTGCCTAAAAGTAATAAAAAGTGATAAGTTGTGCATAGTTGACGGTGCAAAATGGCCATTGTTAATATAGTAGTATTGCAAATGAGTAAAACACAAATAGAATAGAAATATAAAAACACTCGTTGCATCTGAAAATGGTTAAATGCACTTAGGAAGTTTCAGTTCCTTTTCAGGTTCAAGGTTCAAGGTTCTTTATTTTGTCATTCAAACATGTGAGAGAAACACATGACAGAACGAAATGTGCTCCCCGAGGCCCAGTGATCCAGAAAGAGATAAAAAACAATAATAATAAGCAATGTTAAAAAATAAATACATTTAAAAACAACAACATTTAGCAGTTCCAGTGAACAAGTAGTAAACGTGACAAGATAGAGAGAGAGGCAACCCAAGCGTCAAGTCAGTCAGTGTGCACTGTTTACAAGTCTGACAGCCTCAGGAAAGAAGCTGAACTTCAGCCGAGAAGTTCTAGCTTTAAAGGTTGTATGGAGGATTTTTTTTTTGTTTCAAATTGTCAGTGAAAGATTAAAATACAATAACAGAGACGCAGCAGCTTTGTAATTATGATGACCAAAAAAAAAAGAACAAAAATCTATCAACTGTGGACATAGTGAGGCCAGATAAACATCAGCCAATAGAAAACGAGGCTCCCTCATTTTCTATTGGCTGTTAGGTTGTCAATCAAACTCCCTAGTATAACTGACTCGTCGGAGCGCGGGGATTACGTGGTTTACGCGGCGGTTCTTAGAGGCATTTTCGAACTGTCGCTTCCTCGCATTTCGCACAAAGTTTGTCACGACGGCGGACGAGAATCCACGACCGGTTCGCCGCAAAAGAAAGTCGTTTTTTGAGGTCACTGAAAGAAGAAGAGAAGTGGAAAAGTAGCAAAGCCAAACTGAGGTGATTCTTGGAGATCTCATCCAGCGATGGCGCGACCGAAGCAGACGAAGTGTCTAAAAACTGACGCGTCGGTCGCTGAATTACTTCTAGACAGGAAACTTCAACAGTGATTCTGAACGCGCACAAGGACTGTCGCTGTATTTCTCTTCCCTTAAAAAAATCCTCTATACAACCTTTAATGCTCCTCAGTCTCCTCCCAGAGGCAGAGGAACAAACAGATGGTGGGAGGGTGCGAGGGTCCACCATGATCCTGGAGGCCCGTCTTCTACAACGCTCCTCATAAATGTCACTGATGGGTGTAAAGTCACATCCAGTGATCTTCTCTGCTGCTCTGACCACACGCTGTAGATCTGTCCTGTCCTGGGCTGAGCAGTGGCCGTACCACACTGTGATGGACTGGGTCAACACACTTTCCACTCCACATCGATAAAAAGACATGAGAGCAGGGAGGCCTAGTCCAGCAGCCTTGAGTCTCCTCAAAAAATACAGACGCTGGTGGGCCTTCTTAACAATGCCAGCTGCATTAGTGGACCAAGTGAGGCTGTCGGTGATGTGCAGACCCAGGTACTTCCAGCCGGACGCCCTTTCAACTTCTGTGCCCATGATGTAGAGAGGCGACAGTGAACAGCTATTAATTCTTTTGTTTTTGAAAGGTTCAGACAGAGGTTGTTCTCTCTGCACCAGGTCTCCAACAGCTGTACCTCCTGTCCGTATGCCTGCTCGTTGTTTTCCGAGATTCATTGACCTGACGTGCATCAGCGTCATGACAAAATCGATATTGAAGTTAGGAAGGAGTAAGGAAAGGAGCAGTTATCCTTCCTTTCTTAGCTCCTTTAACGTAGGAAGCTCGGGAAGTTCCTAACCAGCGGTAAGGAGCAGTAAGGTGTCCCACAGTCCAATGCGCAGATCGAACCAAAAGTTTCCAAATACTCATTTATAAGTTCCAGACTGCAGCAGATTATTGATTAAAATCTTCTGCATACAAACTCAGCTTTAAAACACATAGAGCCACACCTGCCTGTTTGAGATTATAATGTGTTTAATGCAGCTTCATTTACCTTTTACAGAAACAAAACTTAAAACCAGATGGCTCATTTGCATAAACTATAAGTGCTGACAAAATTTAATTGTACGTGCGCAGGTTTAACGCAGCTTTTTATTTAACAGTTTCACTCATGTACAGTCACTTTATTGATGTTGGCTCCCGTTGTGATTAAATAATTCTCCTAAGACGCGTGCAGCGGTGGAGAATGGGGCACTTGTTGTAGCTGTAGTTTCTTTTCTGGGAGTTGTAGTTTTGCTTGTCGTTCCCGCTGCTGATTAGGAGGATCCAGATCCACCTAAAGCAGCGATAGCTTTTTCTCCTCACTGCTCCTTCCTCCTCCTCGGTCACTTGATCCGACTTCATGACGTAGCTCTCGAAGGTCAACGATAAGCAGAAGCGAGGATAACGAAGGAAGTATTTTTGCGCATTTTCGGATGCTGCCACAGTGACTGCTCCTTTACTGCTGCTCCCGTTGAGCTCTTAAATAGTGTGGAAAAAAGGTCAGCATAACCTATAAGGAGTAACAGCACATCATCTTTCCAGGATGGCAAGGAGAAAATTCAGTTTATCGACCGAAAAGTTAGTTTGATTGAAGACGTTTCGCGGCTCATCCAAGCTGCGTCTTCAGTTCTGGTCAGACGCTGGTGGACACTTCCTTATGTCTGTCTGTGTCCACGAACGTCTGACCAGAACTGAAGAACCACCTTGGATGAGCCGCGAAACGTCTTCAACCAAACTAACTTTTGGTCGATAAACTGAATTTTCTCCTCGCCGTGGATTCTACCTGGACGACTGAGGGACTCTTCAGGATTGTAATGAGCCTAACTGTATTAGTCACTTTTAATGAAATGTAACAAACGCTGAAGCTCCGCACTCTTTACAGCTACTGTTTTTAACCTTATTAAACTGCTTCACTGCTCAGTGCAGGAGCAGAGGGCGACTCCACGTACCTTTTTCTGACAGGAAAAGTTGTGTTTTATCCTCAGAAATGATGAATACTTTGTAAATCTGAACAACATTGCACAGAATCAGTAATGTAACGCAATGTCGCAAGGAGAAATGTATTTTTTTATTACACATTAAAAATTATGTCCAAGATTCACCTTGATTTGGATTTGACTTCATGCTTCTGGTAAGGATGTACTTGTATGTATTTTCTAGTATTAATATAACTGTATTTTTTGGGTCAAAAGTGTATATAAAGCAGTAATATCTATATTACTTTTTGCAATATCCTGCAGCCCCGGGGCGTAGACTTCTTTTGAATACAAACAGTGTGCCTGAAAATTGCAGATTGGATTAGAGCTTTTCTACTCAATCATTTTTTTCTCCCACACAATCTGATCTCAAACACTGACAGAACTTTCACCGTTTGACTTTTTAATCCGGGAAAACCTAAAAATGTGAACACACCACCAGAATAACCACCTTTACAGCTCCGACCCTGTGAGCAGCTTCTACTGTGCGTCTGAGCGGTCAGCCACAAGAGCAGAGCCATTCTCAAAGTGTCCAGATTTAAATGGAGTTGTGTTTGTTTCCCTCAGACTCTGTACAAGACGCAGATCCGTGAGCTGAAGGAGGAGCGGGAGGAGAGGAGTCGTCTGTGTAAAGATCTGCAGCAGAGGATCAACCAGTATCAGGAGGAAAGGTGAGAGAGAGAGGACGGGTGTCTCCATAGGGTGTCTGGGTGCTCCCTTAGAGACAGGGTGAGGAGCTCAGTCACACGGGAGGAGCTCGGAGTAGAGCCGCTGCTCCTCCACGTCGAGAGGAGCCAGTTGAGGCTCGGGCATCTGTTCTGATGCCTCCTGGACGTCTCCCTCAGGAGGTGTTCTGGGCATGTCCCACCGGGAGGAGGCCCCGGGGAAGACCCAGGACAAGCTGGAGGGACTGTGTCTCTGGGCTGAGCTGGGAACGCCTTGGGGTTCTCCCGGAGGAGCTGGAGGACATGTCTGGGGTGAAGGAAGTCAGGGAGTCCCTGCTTAGACTGATGCTCCCGCGACCCAGGCCCCGGATAAGCTGAAGAAAATGGATGGATGGAATGATAATGTCCCGAATTTCGCAACAACTTTGCCTGTCCCCACTCCCATAGGGGTCCAATTCTAGGTGGCGCTCGGGTCACTTGTTGCGATGCCCAATCCAACAATCCTAAAGCAGGATTTCCCCCAAAAACAATTCTCTGTGAACATTATCGATGATGAACAGCAGTTCTAGAAGTGATTCCTTCAGCCCTCCAGAGCTCAAACCACATCATAATAACAAAATAACACAAGACATTGACATTTGACATAATTTATTATAAATAATAATAAAGTGCTGCAATTGATTTCACAATGTTGGCTTTGTTTATTTTATGTTATACTTTAGTGGTCATTGTAGTCCTGCTTTTTGTAACTACAACTTCTCAAATTGTTACTCACCAACTCTTAACTCTTACCTCAAAGGTAAATTCCGGGGAATAATCTCATGAGATCATCTTGTCCCATCCCTATCAAAGGTCTAACGTGTTTGTTGTGTTCCTCAGGGAGTCTATGGCGTCGCAGCTGGAGGCCAGTCTGACCAAAGCCGACTCAGAGCAGCTGGCCCGCTCCATCGCTGAGGAGCAGTACTCAGCTCTGGAGAAGGAGAAGATCATGAAGGAGCTGGAGATCAAGGACATGCTGGCGCGACACAAACAGGAGCTGAGCGACAAGGAGGCCACCATCAGCTCTGTGAGTAACACACCAGATGTTTTCAGGCCGATCAGACCGGTGCCAGTGCCGGTTCCTGCACCAGATACACTGGAACCAAAGTGCTCACCGGTGAACGAGCCGCCTTCAAACCATTTAAGTGAACCCATGATGTGTCACCGACAGAGGGTGTGGATTTACCACCAAATCAAAACAAGGCCATACGAAAGTGGATGTCACATCATCGACAGCAGCGAGCGTTTTTACTCATACAAATCATTATTTATCTGCGTCAAACTCTGTTACAACATCTGCTGTGGAGAAGGCGGCAGCGACGCCAAATCCAAAGCTGTAACCTTACCGGGCGAACACAGATATCGCAAATGTTTGGTCTCCTCCCCTGACCACTGCACATCTTCATGTCACTGGATTTCCCCACCATATTTCACACACACACACACACACACACACACACACACACGCTAGAGATGCGCGGATTGCGGGTCGGGCGGATGACGTGACGAAAAATTATATTTTAATTAAATTCGGGCGGGGGGGTGCGGTTTAACTACTAAAAAAAAAAAAAAAAAAGTTATTGTTAGTATCGTTTACGTACATCTGAAAAGACGAGTGTCATTGTCTGTGCTTGTAGTATGAAGTGTACGTCATGTCCTTAATTAGCCCATTTGACCTCGTTTTTATGTTCTGAAGGTTCAGGTTGTGTCGGGTTATTGATGCCTAAGGTTTACGAGGCACATATTATATGCAGTTTATTTTATTATTTCTAATTTATTTCAGCTGTTTGCCAACACATAAGTGGCTATAGAGACATATTTATTTAGTTATGCATATTTTTTCTTGCCTATTTCAATTGGAATATAAAGAGGGCATTGCCTGATTTCAATAAAGGTTCATCTGGATGAGATGATCTGTCTGTTTTGTTTCGATATCAGTTATATTTTAAAACACGCAGACATTATAGCGTAGACTGCCACTCGGGGGATTTAAAACTTAAAGAAAGACCGATGGAGTGAGGCTATGACTTTGAAATAACATCGGGCAATGGCAGAATGTTCAGAATGTAACAACATCCAACACGAAGGCAAGAAGGTTCAAAAACAGCCTAGTTGAAAAACGTTGTCAGTTAATTAGCTGCGCAAGAAAACCAGGTAAGTCTGGGGTTGTTACGGACAATTAAGAATGTGAACAAACACGCTGAGCGAATTTTGGAATGAATGAGCTGTAGAGTTTGCATTTTTATCGAGGCTCCTTAGTTTGTTTGCTGTATGATTGTTCTAAAATCTAAAATCAATCGGCGGATGGCGGCGGGTGCGGTTTTGAAAACCTTCAGTGCAAAATGGACAGCGGGCGGATGATGAGTTTTGTGTCGCGGTTGCGGATGAAAAAATAGCCCATCCACACATCTCTAACACACACACACACACACACACACACAGAACCTGCTGACATTCCCAAAGGCTCTGGTTTTCGGCATGAACACGTCAGTCGGTTTGAGATTAGGTGCTGGAACCGTCCTGAAAACACTAACTGTGGCTCTCATGTTTTCTAATAGTGTAATGTAATGCATTACTGTAGTTTACTGGGGAAGGTAGAGAGTGATTATTTGTGAGTGAGAAGAAATGTCACACTTTTAAGTGCATATGGTTAGTATCTCTAAACAGTGATTAACATGCTGCTCATTTCCTAACGACTCTGTTAATGTCTGCAAACAGCGTGTCAACACAGACAACAATCAACAAAAACACTTTGGAGTGGATCTATAGCTCCAGAAGGAGATTTAAGCAGATTTACAATAGTCGTCTTGGTACAAATCCTGCTTTAAAACTGAATGTGTTGCTCATTGTGTGTTTGCAGCTGGAGGAGTCGAACCGAACCCTCACCGTGGACGTGGCTAATCTGGCCGGAGAGAAGGAGGAGCTCAACAACCAGCTCAAAAATCTGCACACAGGTGAGGCCCTCCAGAACACGATCCTCTCAGAAGAACACGCTCCAGTTTGACAAGAAACACTGACAGTCTAATGTTTGCAAACTCTTGAGGAAGAATGAGTAATATGTTGGTAGTTTCTTCAAAATGACTCCCTCCATTTCCGTCGGGGGTGTCCGTTCAGGTAAACATCCAAACGTCCGGAAAGCAGAGGCCGCAGTCTGACGGTGAATCATTCAGGTGTGAGTTTGAACAGAGTTTTCACACCTTTAGGCATGCAGCAAAAATATAAAGTCTGACTCACATTTAACGTTTTGTGCCGAGGCTCTTTTGGGGGATTTGTTTCGATCCCTCCAGTAGAAACTGTTGCTTATGTTAATATTGGTCCAGGGGGTCACATGTTGCCACAGTCCAGCCTGATTTACATAGAGTAGGTCAGAGGTGTCCAACCTTTACCTCCAGTCGCTCTGCACCTCCATCCAACAGCTCACCAAGAGATTTCTGTTGTTGAATTCTGTGTATTGTGGGTAATAAGTCAAATTACCACTGTAAATGTATAATTTTTATGCCTAACTTGGTGCACTGATGAATGGATAATAAGTTTATGTTTTGTAAGGGTCCAGGTCAAGTGGTAACGGAGGGAAACAGGGGCAGATTTTTGACATTCAAATGTCTCTTATTCAGAAACTAGAGGAACTATTGAAATAAGTAAAGTATCAGAATGTAGGAAAGAGTTACACTCCAACAGGGTCAAGTTAAACCTGTGAGATTCTTTCAAGTTGTTCACAAAAAATTAAAAAACTCATGTCGGTAACGGAGGGAATGAAATATGCAGCACTTTTTGGGCAATAAATCCAAACAGTGATAACTCTTGGTTCTCACTTACATATCCTTAACAAACTGGTTTGAATATTTGCTTCATATAGTTTTCTACCATATGGTACAAGATTAGGTTGAAAAACCTCTTACTTTTTGACTCATGAGATTTTTTATTAAGAAAGGTCATGGTAACGGAGGGAAAAGTAACGGAGGGAAAATTGTTCAAACAAGTAGAAGGTGCAGGATTTTACATCATTTGTCGCTTTTTTCTTCTGAATACTTTAATATTACTTCAAAATGAAAAGAAACTATTTCTATAAAATATGTCAGTCCTTCCAAGAACATTTTTATCATTTTAAATACTTTTTTTTTTTAATCATGAACCTTCATCAACAGTTCAAAGATGGAATAACACAAGATATGATGAAATACATCCATTTATTTACATGATTTTCAGGTCTTTGAAATTTGGGAAATAATTTTTGTTCCATGTTTCATACATGGTCTGTTTAAAACGGATGGAACTTTAGAACCAAAAATGGTACAGAAAAAAGGTCAACAGTTTCATAAACTAGAGTACATATGTATCTGTTCAATACATTTTTATATCAGATGCATTAACTTGAATTTTTGGCCTTGTTGTTTACTTCTGCTTGACTGGGCCCATAAGCATCTAACTGTTCTTCATCTAAGGCCTTAAGGCGCACTTAAAATCCTTTAATTTTCTCAAAAATTGACAGTGCGCCTTATGTATTAATTCTGGTTGTGTTTACTGACCTCGAACCGATTTTCTGTGGTACACGGCGCTCAAAAATCTGTCAAAATGTTTTAGTACGACTTTGGTAAACTACAAAGCTACAAGTACGACCTGCAGACTTATAACCTCTGAAAAGTTTCACATGAACCATCTCCAACGCGACAGAAGCACAAAACAGACTCACCATCATCAGCACATCGTCTGTCAGAGAAAGAACACTCTGAACACACTGAACCGCATCAGCAGCATAAGGACTGAGCTGTTTTTTCAGATCTTATGGTTTATGCAAATGAGCCATGCGATTGTTAAGTTTGCTCAAGTAAAAGTTCTGTTAGATAAAAACACAGAGGAAGTGAGAGCTTCAGGGTATCATAGAAGAAATCCACAACAGGTGCTCCTCAAGGACGAGGCTCTAAAGCTCACAGATAGTGAAGATGACCAAGTGTGTGATGACGTAAAAAGTGGTCAAAATGTCTTTTGGAATTCGAATGAAAGGCTTTTTAATGCATTGGTTTGTCCCATGTGACCATTAAAGGACTTTTATTCTGATTCTAACAGAGTGCTCGGACTTTTTGACCGCTTTTTATTTTATCACGGCAAGTTTTTACTCTATAATACTTTACAAGCTTGGTCATCTTCACTATACACTAAAAAGTACTGGTACTTCAATAAAAATGTTACACAAGTAGGAGTAAAAGTACGCTGAGTGAGAAAAGTTACTACCCACTTCTGACTGTGGTTGAGGTTAGGATCAGCCTTGAAGAAATGCACGGAAGTCAGTGTGATGTCCTCGTAGAAACCTAAAATATGCGTGTTCATGTGTTTCTGTGTTTTTGTGTGTTTGTGCAGAGCTGCAGAAGAAGAAGGAGGCGGAGAAAGAGCACAGCGCCCTCAGGGTGTCGTACGAGAAACAGCTGCAGAGCGAGAGAACGCTCAAGATCCAGGTATTCACACGGGTTTTGGATTAGAAATAAGAGTGTGGATCGGGACGAATTTTTCTGTCCGAGCCCGATCGAATCCGACACAAGTAGGATATTGTTTGTGTCGCCTCCAACGGACACAGAGACGTAAAATACAAACTAAAGATAAAGTGAAAATAACTAGAAGACTTTATACCTCACCTCTCGTAAAGTGGTAAATTTAAACTGCAGCATCTCATCCACTTTATCCATAGAAATTGTCCTCTGCAAATAATGACCCCAGTCCACAAAAAAGCGATGTTAATCCAGTTTGAGTCATTCTTTAGAAGTAAAAAGGCCGGAGTAGTTCCTCACGTGTGTCTGTTTACATCCACACAGCGCACGGATCGAGGTGAAGCTGCAGATTAACGACAGTGACTCTACTTCCTGTGAACTTTATTGGCAGTTTTATACTTTAAAAATCCTGTATCTGAAGTTTTGCACCACATTTCACAAATAACACAGTTTTTTCATGCATCTAAACTAGAAGTGTAGTGCTCTGATTGTTTGAACATTTAAGGTGGTGTCCACATGACATCGTTTTTTTTTGGTTGAAACGGTGAAGTTTTTATCCGTTTTGGTCTTTCGTCCACACGGAGCCGGCGTTTCAGGTGGGCGAAAATTGGTGTTTTTTTTTAAATCTGAGAACGCTGGCGTTGCGTTGTCATGTGGACAAGCAAACCGCAGCTTTTGGAAAACGATGACGTTGCAACCCCTGTCATCGCAACGTGACCAGAAGAGAACCCCGCGCAACAACCGGTAACAACCATAACAACCACCACGGCGGACGCTTCTAAGTTTATTTGCGCTGTTGCATCAAAACCTCTTAGGCCCCATCCACACTACTACGTATTCGAGTTGTTTTCGTTGTGGATGCAGTGTTCGTTCACACTAATCCGATTGAAAACTGCTCCAGAGACGGAACAATCTGGTGCCTCCAACTCCCACGAATTCACCTGAGTACAGATCTGATCCGGCACCGTGTGGACGCCTGAAAACGCTGATACTCTGATGTAGGTCTGTGCACCGCCCAAAAAATTCACCACCGAAACACTAAAAGGCTAGAATATCTGTCCATTCGTATAAACGTGTGTCTGTGTGTTGTGTGTGTGTGTTTGTGTGTGTGTCTCACACACACAAACACACACACACACACACACACACACACACACACACACACACACACACACACACACACACACACACACACACAACACACACACACACACACACACACAACACACACACACACACACACACACACACACACACACACACACACACACACACACACACACACACACACACACACACACACACACACACACACACAGATACACACACACACACACACACACACACACACACACACACACACACACACACACACACACACACACACACACACACACACACACACACACACACACACACACACACACACACACACACACACACACACAGACACACACACACACACACACAGATACACACACACACACACACACACACACACACACACACACACACACACACACACACACACACACACACACACACACACACACACACACACACACACACACACACACACACACACAGATACACACACATACACACACACACACACACACAGATACACACACACACACACACACACACACACACACAGATACACACACACACACACACACACACACACACACACACACACACACACACACACACACACACACACACACACACACACACACACACACACACACACACACACACACACACACACACACACACACACACACACACACACACACACACACACACTCTGCAGCTTTTGTCTTTCGCAGGTGTGATATGTAACACCTTCTGACAGCTTCACTCAGACCCTGTTTTAAACTGTCTGCAGAATCTCACAGTGACTAAGCCTTGGTTTCGTAAAGGTCCATTGCGTAACATTTCTAGTCTAGGCTGCTACCTGCTTGTTTGCAGGTCAGATCTGTGCAGAGGCAAGCCCACAAATCCACAGTAATAAATGTTTTATTTTAAAGAGAGAGTATTCTTATTATATGTCTGCCATGTTATAATGTTGTTCCCAGGACTAAACCAGGACTCCAAGATTAGTCCTGGTTTAGTCCTGGTTTAGACCTGATTTAGTACTGGTTTTAGTCCTGGTTTAGACCTGGTTTAGTCTTGGTTTAGTTTGGTTTTAGTTCTGGTTTAGTCTTGGTTTAGTCCTGGTTTTATTTCTGGTTTAGTCCTGGTTTAAGTTCTGGTTTAGTCCTGATTTAGTACTGGTTTTAGTCCTGGTTTAGACCTGGTTTAGTCCTGGTTTTATTTCTGGTTTAGTCCTGGTTTAGTACTGGCTTAGTACTGGTTTAGTTCTGGTTTAGTCCTGGTTTAGTCT